TTAAAATCCTTAACTTATTTTTTTTACTAACCCCCAATTCCTAAAGCAAGTTTTGCCATCACAACTGCTATGCACACTATCTCCTAAAGCACTGGACTGTCTGTCTAATCCTAAAAGGTGTCCTTACCACCCCAGGCAAAAAAGAAAAAGAAAAAAAAGGGAACCCAAAGGACACCGCCACCTTGATTGACTCCTGCTAAATCCCAGACACCATCTAAAATAAAACCAAACAGCAACTCCGGCCTATCTCCGGTAACTTCTCTTCCTCCTCCCCCTCCAAAAAGCCACCACCACCACATTTAACACTGTCCAAAAAATGGTCAAACAAGGGAGTTTTTCTTTCTAAAAACTCTAGACAACTGTTAAAATAAAAGCCTCCCTTAATATTTTAACTGTTTTTCCTTCTCTTCTTTATCTTTAATGAAAGGTTAAAATAATTTTCATAGTATGTTCAGCATAAGATTAAACAAGCTAAAGTCTCTATATACTAAACTCCAAACTTTGTTGAGTGATGGAGTTATGCTAACACCTTTAGCCCATATATTCCATCTAAATTAATACAACAGGCATTCTTACCGGTATATTTGAGAATTTTTGACTGTTGTCAACAGGCGGTCAACCAACCAGCTTGCCAAGCCTACTTACGGGGGGGAGGGATAGCTCAGTGGTTTGAGCATTGGCCTGCTAAACCCAGGGTTGTGAGTTCAATCCTTGAGGGGGCCACTTAGGGATCTGGGGCAAAATTAGTACTTGGTCCTGCTAGTGAAGGCAGGGGGCTGGACTCAATGACCTTTCAAGGTCCCTTCCAGTTCTAGGAGATCTCCAATTAAAAAAAAAAAAAAAATACACCTGCAGGTTGTTCCCTGGTGGCTCAGCTGTCAAGTGTAGTTTGTAAAATGGCCCTCTAACGGGACACTTACATGTGCAAATACATGCCCTAGGTAGCGGAGTGCCATTGGAGACTTAAAATAAGGAATTCTGCTGCCCAATTTTAGACTCAAATTTGGAAAGTCATTGGAAATTATTAGCATCAGTGAAAATTCCTTAGAAAACGTTACACGGTTGGATGCACCAGAAAACACTGCGGCAAAAGAGGAAGCCTCAGCTTGGGGATGCCAGGCGCAGACAGCCAGTTCCTAGAAAGTGCTAAATTCCCTAAACTCCCTCTGATTACTTCACCCCATAAATAGCTCCAAGTTATTACTCAGAATTGGTTGCATTCCTGCATAGCCCCACAGCACAGAGCTGTGAGAAATCAATCGTTCCAAACTAAGCTGACTGGAGCATCCCTTTAGCAATGATACATTCATCAAAGCATGACCGGGAACTGGGGCAATAGCAGCTTTAAATGAGAAAACCCCAGATGTACTCCTCTTGCCCATCCCGACGATTTCAGAGGGAGTTAGAGCGCTTAGCGCCCTGTAGGACTGGGACCTAGGAAGACCAGCATAATATATTTGGCTCTTGGAGAATGGAGGAGAGTTTTGTCTGGCCTGGTGATGCACAGAAAAGTCTCACTGAAGCCAATGGGAGCTACCCGCATACATCTGAGGGAAGATCTGGAGCGTTTAATCTGAATTATTGAAAACACGCCACCCTCTCACTCTGGTCAGGGAAGAAAGTGACCTCTTGCATCCCCTAGACCCAAGAAGAAGGAGATTCTATTTCCACATTCCCTCTGAAGATGAGCCCTGGAGATATGTAAGGTATTGGGAGAGAAAGGAAACGGAGGTGGTCACATTCATGAGATGTTGCAGGAGTAAATAAGGACTCAACCCCTCCCCAAGAGTCAGCTCTGCTGATATCATTATTCTTCCTTGATTGCTATCTAAGGACAACAGCCACTCTAGATGGTCTAAATTAAGAAAACACTGAAATGCATTTATACTCATGACCTCGTCACACGATGCAAATTTCCCAATGTACAGTAAAGCAGTTTATTAGCAAGTGTCTCATTGAATTAAGTTTACTCTTATTGTATTAGGGAACTTTCATACCACATTAAACCGCAACACAATAGGGTGTTTGCTAACAAAAAGAATAGAATTACTGATTCTCTCTCAGAAATTGACTTAGACGTGACGCACGAAGCCCCACACCAGAAAAAGCAGGGGAAATTCTTGGTAATACAGAGATTAAATGCAATAGTAGGCCCTGGTAAAGTTCCTCCTGCACAAGGGTGACTTTCACCAATAGGGAATACATTAATTTCCACCAAGCTCATTCTTCCGCACCAAGAAGTTGAGTGAAGAATGACACACTGAACAAGCCAGTGTCCCTACATGGATACAATACAAACACATTCATCCAATCCCCCCATTGAACCACTATTCTCAAGTATCCGATTTGTGTTGAATTTGAAAGAATCTATGCACAGCTAACCAAGCGCAGAATTTGGCCTACTGAGAGGAAGACTATAACTCCTTCCATTTAAAAGGGATTCTTGTTTATTAAGGTGAAAATCAAATGAAGACCCGGAGGGCCAAAAGAGAAGATTATTGTCCGTCTGTTAACTATTTTACTGATGGCCACCATCATGGCGAATGGCACACCTACATTTTCTTCATAGAGGCAGGTTTTTTTCCCTCCCATTGCACTTGCCTATCGCTTATTTTGGTCAACTTACTGATGAACTTTGATAAATGATGTACAGTTCATCCATCTCCTAGCGTAGCACTTAGATGATGAATGGAGTACATTTGGAAAGCAGACCGAGGAAAAACATAAAATTGATATCCTAGAAAAAGAAGAAAACTGAGCGCTGGCAACAGCGGCAAAGTTTAATAAGGAAAGATTGATGCACAAAATATTAGCTGAACAAAGATTGAGACATTGAACAGCCAAGAAACAATGAATTCTGATTTCAAGAGCCATTCTGTAACTATGGGGCAATTTTGAGAAGCACCAAAGTCATTTAGGACTTTCAGCGCGACTTGAGCTCCTAAACCCTTTTGATGCCCTTGAAAATCTCACACTAAATGCCCATCATGCTGACTTCAGAAGTTTTATTATGGATGGCTCCACAATTGTACACACGGAAACAAATGACAGCTAACTATTAGAGGGTGAAATTCACACTCAATGAAGGCAGTAATTTGCATGGGGGCCGCTTGGGATGAGGCAAATCACAGCATTGACTCTCCACCACTGCAAAGCTTGCCTCACAAGAAGTTGAGCCTAGAGAAGACTGAGCATATGTGGGTCTCCTTTATACATTACCAAGAGCAAAGTAATGTCCTGCCTCTTGATTAAATAAGAGTATAAGAATGGCCATACTGGGTCAGACCAAAGGTCCATCTAGCCCAGTGTCCTGTCTTCCGACAGTGGCAAATGCCAGGTGCCCCAGAGGGAATGAACAGAACAGGTAATCGTCAAATGATTCATCTCCTGTCGCCCGTTCCAAGCTTCTGGCAAATAGAGTCTAGGGACACCATCCCTGCCCATCCTGGCTAATAGCAATTGATGGACCTATCCTCCATTAATGTATTTAGTTCTTTTTTGAACCCTGTTTTAGTCTTGGCCTTCACAACATCCTCTGGCAAGAAGTTCCACAAGTTGCCCTTTTCTGAACCTTTTCCAATCCAATATATCTTTTTTGAGATGGGGTGACCACATCTGCTGCAGTATTCAAGATGTGGATGTACCATGGATTTATACAGAGGCAATATGATATTTTCAGTCTTCTTATCTATCCTTTTCTTAATGATTCCCCACATTCTGTTTGCTTTTTTGACTGCCACTGCACATTGAGTGGATGTTTTCAGAGAACTATCCACAATGACTCCAAGATCTCTTTCTTGCGTGGTATCAGCTAATTTAGACCCCCATCATTTTATATGTATAGTTGGGATTATGTTTTCCAATGTGCATTACTTTGCATTTATCAACTTGATAAAATGATGAAATCCCATAATCAAGACAATTCTCTAGCATAGCTGCAAGGTGAAGACATAATTTATCCACCCACTTGAACTCCACTATATTCAACAGAGTGTTTTCTTTATTGTTTCTGCTTCTCTAACCCAGATTTTCCAGATGAGTTAGCCGAGACACCAAAAGGACTTGTCCTAAGTCACAGTGAACAAGTGGCTTAAAATGAAATAAAACAAAATCTTGGAGCACCCTCCCCACCCAAGATCACAGCCTTCAGTCCAAGTTCTACACAAAGCAGCCACTTCATGTCACTGAATTCACTGTGCAATGCCAACACCAAAATCCAGTTTTATTGGTTAAAATCTGAAATAAGAAGCCTTTGAACCTATCATTATAATCAACAACCTAGGAGTAAATCTAGGGTCTTGTCTCTGAATCATAAAGTCCAGTCAACATGTCTGCCTCTCTCTCACACATGCATTTTTAATTATCAGCATCTCTATTTAACATATTATTCATAATATTATGCCAGCACGTCGCCGTCTCAACTAAGACAAAAGCGCTATTGCACTAGGCAACGTACAAACACATTATCTGTGACAGTTCTCACCCCCAAAATGTTTACAATTTAAATAGACATTACAGAACCAATGGACTGTTATCCCCAGTGTACAGAGGGGGGAAACTGAGGCAGAGAGGTTAAGTGATTTACCCAAAGTCACACTGGGAATCTGTGGCACAGCCAGGAATTAACCCCAGCTCTCCTGAGTCCTGGTCCAATGCCTTAACCACAAGGCCACCCTGTGTCTCTCTCTGATAGTAAAGCTTTGGGTTTAAGGGGAAAATCTTCCTCATGTCAGACCTCCTCTCTTCTAGCTCCATTTTCTAAATTAAATTCTCCCAGACATCTAGGATAGATTGATAAGCCATGTTTGTCAGGCACTCTCAGCAGTATTTAGGATCTTATCAAACATAAGAAATCAAAACAGCTAAGAGAATCTCTCTCACAAATAAGCTGCCAATTCAGTGCACGCCTCCAACCTAAGTATTTTAATCCCAGTGGCAGAAATCTTGAACACGCTTATAAACGCCACCAATTGTTATTATATGGTAAGCGCTCGCTGTACCTTGTTCTCAGATTCCCCTGCTGAGGCAGTCCATCATAGACTGATAATACATCAAAATCTTCCTCTAAGGCGAAGGACTGGAACACGAGCTGTATTCTGTTCTGCTCCTCAGCAGTGATTGTCCACGTGCAGTTTGCATAATTTGGATATCCGTACGGAAATCCTGGACTTTGTATCGTCCCGTTTGGGCCTTGAAAGACGTAGCTGCAGTTCTGGGCTGGCGAGAGAAAAGACAAACGTTATTGTAGCAGACTTTATAATTCTACACCAACACCACCGTTAATACAGATTTCCTCTTAACAGAGCCAACATGTAGGTTGCTCATTTTCAAAAGCTTGCTGGAGTATGATTTTTGTTCAGGTTGGAAATACACTTGCACCGTTAGAGCTGCACTCATCACACAGAGATCATAAAACAAGGCAGAGTCGTCACGAGGCAGATTGGTTTGGCACTTATTGAGGCCTGGGCTACATTTAAATTTAGCTCGAGCTAGCTACAGCATTTGGGGGAGGGGGGGGGAATTCACATTCTTGAGTGCTACAGTTAAGTCAACGTAACCCCTCCAGACAGACGGGGGTAGGTCAACAGAAGAATTTTTCTTTCAACCTAGCTTCTGTCACTGGGGCACTGCAGGGTGTGAGTGGGTGGGGGTGATTGCCTATATCAATGGAAAAAATCCTTCAGTTGACATCTGAAGTGTCTACACCACAGTGCTACAGCAGCACAGCTGCAACGACTGTAGTGTAGACATGCCCTAGAGCAGGCCTGGTATAAAGGGGATAGCCTGCTTTGGCTATTTGATTATTAGTATTATAACATTAATGCCTAGACGCCTCGGCCAATGTACAAGGAAACAAAGGTTAAGAGACATGGAAATTCTCCTTAGTCTACTTCACTTTCCCTTCGGTGTTACTTTAAACCTTGCAGGCTGTATTTCTGAAACATGGGACTTGTAATCACTGTAATGCTAGTTGGAGGTAGAACTTGAGTTTTGCCCCCACTCCTGTCCACACACACACACACACACACACACACACGTCTCTAACACTTCGAACTGAAGCTAGCTGGCCCCTCAGTGGCACAGGCCGAAGCCCCAGTGTAGCTGATGCTCCAGCTAGAAATGCAGTAATGCAGCAGCTTGATTTGCAACTCAACCGCTGCTCGTCTGATCACTCTGCGTCGCTCCAGCATTATTTTGTAGTGCGGTCGCTCTCACTAAAGCGAACTGCTGCAGCGAAGACAAGCCCAGGGAGGCAAATTCACCCCTGCTATGAAGAGATTCAACTCCTGCTGGCGTTAGTGGAATTGTGCCTGTTTACATCACAGCTGAATTCCAGCCTCAGCAAGGGAATTTGGGTTTGTGCGATTAGCCAGTTGGCAACTCTACCTTTTGCAGGGAAACGCAGTGCAAAAACAAACGCCGTGCTACCTCGTTATCCTGTGATCAAGTTGAGTTTGACTGATCACTGCTTGCTGAGATTGCTGAGCTCTACAAAGCAAGTCTGGCTTCTTCCATTGATGCTAGTTTGTTTGCCCTTATTTATGCTGTTTATTGAGGATTTCACACTGAAATAGTTGAGACTGGAAATTATGGCTTTGATTTCTCATTACTGTTTTCCAAATCAGTAAAGTTATTTGCCCTTCTGAGTGCCAACCAGCCACAGGTAAAGAACGATAGTAGCATTCATTAAAGCCAGTTATAATTCGATTGGCCTATCTTGGAACCAAAACGCTTAGTAGAACCTGTTCTGTCCCTGCAAGATGAAAGCTCATATCTTTATGGAATTGCAGCAGTCAATCAGATGTACCAAAAGGGGAATATTTTTGTCCAGGGCTTATTTTACAAATAAGATTTAGGATAGCCCTATAATCCAGAGCGGTGGAGTAAATCTGACCCATTCATAGAACTCATTGACAAAGATCAAGAATAGAACTTTGCATTTCTACAGCACCTAGCATTTGTGGCTAGGTTTGCTTTGCAAATACCAAATCACAGAGCACAAGTGCAACCCCGGTGAGCAAAATTCATCCCCAGGCACTCTTAAATTGCACTTGTTTGTGGACTTGGCGTATGTGATGCATAAATCTGGTGCTGGTATTCTAGGCTGGGGTGAATACTCATGATCCTTTGTAAAGCAAGCAACATTAATCCATTTTACAAATTGCAAACTGAGTATAAGTCCACACTGGGAGATCCATAAATTGCCCTGACTCTCAGTTCCTCTCCCTAACCACTAGATCATATTCCCTTTCCTTCACACAGGCTGTTATTCAGCAGGCATAGTGTGGATACATAATTTTATCTACAGAACACTTTTAATTTTAATCACGAGTAAATGCCACCTGAACAATTTGGGAAAATTGGTAAATTAAAAAGGCTGTAGCTATATAATTGTTGCTGGTATGAAAACTGTTGATGCTATTAGCTATCATGCTAACTAAGCATATTCAAGGTCAGAGACCCTGTGTTCCAAACACTTCAAAAGGTCATCGGCAGGACAAACAAGATGTAATCAATCTGGTTATGCCAGGATTGCCCTAACTCAGAGATTAAAGCCATGAACAAACAAAAATGGCTACAAACATCTACATCCTCCCAAACCGATGGTAGCTGAAGAAACACAGTAAACGACAACAGAAAAAGCGGATACGGTTCTATAACAAACTAATCTACTGAAATAATTCCACATTCATGATTCCAGCCCAAGATGAGCTTATGCTTCTTATGGACTCAGCTAACAGAAAATTGCCGACAATCTACAAGGCAATATACCTTCATCCGAAATAGCCAGGAACTGCGTTTATGTTGGAAACTGATGAGAACAGCTGGCAGACATGGGACATAGATCAAGGAACCGCAAGAGGTTTTACTCATACCCAATAATCTGGTTTAAGGTCTGAGTTAGTTCATTTTGGGTTTGATCACCAACACTTCATCTAAAGTCTATGTTACAAAACTATCAAATGTTGCATTTCTCCTTTGAAGACTCATAGTAATAATTCTCTTTATCCCTTTGGCCCTGGGGCATCAATAAATACAGAGGAATGCATGTTTTAGTGAAACCCACACTGGTACCTTGAGAGCCCTCAGGGCTGTGTTGTTAAAGGGCCTTCTTGAGTGTGCCTGCCAGCACTGTGCACAAGCAGAAATCCACACTTTCTCATGCAAACTTGAACCCTCAGGGGAAACAGGAGCACATGTCCCGTGCAAGGGCAAAGGAAAGTCCCGGAACTCAGGGAAAAGCAGGGGCTTCTCCCACCTAGTGCTCCCCTGGGTTGCAATTGGCTTAGCCATGAATGTGCCAACCACCAGGATGAACTTGATGGCATGTGTGGGCTCCCCGGGCCCTCTACTGGATGGCATTGCAATCACTTAACTTTTGTGTCACACACACCCTACACTTAATAGATTTGCCATTAGCTAAACCCAGATCAAGTCTGTGCTTTTGGAGAAAGAGGCTCTGAGATCTATCCCCTCTCTCGCTAGGAAGTACAGCACAGTGATAACCATGAAGACTTGGGCAGAAGGCATGTTTTATAACAATACTGTAATGCACACCGTAATCAATTTCATTGTACTCTGAATACAGGACCAGCCCTTAGCACCTGCAGCCTCCTGAATCTGAGCTAGATCTATGCTGTTCAGGTTTTGTAACATCTAGACGCTGCTTGCAAAATACACTATGGCCTAAGCAGCTATTTGGAGTTCAGCTGCTGCCTAGTATAACTACATGATCAGACCCACTCCATAAGCCTGAGCACAGCCACATAAGACACAATTGTTACTTGTTAACCCGGCTACTTGCATTTTCCTTAATGTAGCAAACATTGCTGCAGCCCGTGCTAGGGAGAGTCAGGAGCAACCATGCACCATGAAAGGAACTCCGAATGGAGAGCAATATTTCAGTGATGGTTCTGACTTGCTTTCCCCAGCCCACAGGTTCTAAATGCGACTTCACTCCTCTCCCTGCAATACACATGGGAACATAGGATGTGCCAGAGTGGATCAGACCAGTGACCCATCCAGGCGTATACCCTGCCTCTGACAGTGGCCAGTGCCAGATGATTCAGAGAAAGATGCAAGAAACCCTGCAGATATTGAACAGCCTATACCAGGAAATTTCCTCCTCACCCCCATTAGTCAGAGGCTGGTTTAAGCTCTGAAACAGGAAGGATTAGATCCTTTCCAAAGTTATTACAGTTTTGGGGGGGGGGGGGGGGAGGGGGGTAGTATTTTTAAAGCACTTCCTCTGACACGCTGCCATTCCTAATTCAAGAGCCACAACAATGAATGAAAAAGGGTAAATAGATAAAGCTAACAGATTGGATGTCATCTGCCAGCCAGCCCTATGTGGCAGTGTAAATATTTATGTACTCTATTTCCAACTTCTAATACTACAGCTCATGGACTAGAGCTTCATGATAGCAGGGATCACATCAGCATACACACATTTGGATGGACATGACCTGTTTTGTGATGGAGGTAAACAAGAAAAGAGCCACTTCCACTCATGTTCTTGAAAATGGCATTGGTATTGGAATTCTGGAAAGTGTTCTATCATAAGGATAATCACAGCTTTAAAACATGCATCTTATTAAAGGAATGTATTTCAGTTTATTATGGTAACACCAACAAACAAGGAGCAGGACCACATTCTGCTAGGCTCTATATAATGAAAAGATAGATTCTAATCTCTTTGGGGCAAGGATGAAGTAAAAAATTGAGTGTAGATGGCAGGATTCATACCTGTGCAGGGAAACCTCAGTTAGTATTAGGACCCTCAGCTGAAATTGAAAGAATCCGAAAAGTCTCATTTACTTCTTGCCTATTTTGTCCACTAAACAATGTAAACAATGTAAACAGAGCAGTCAGTTTCAAGGTCTGGCTTTTGTGCACTTGCAAAATGATGCAACGACTGAGTTACAAACAAACATCTGGCCTGATTCTGTGATGCCTCATCATACCAACTTAAGGGAGCCGCTCCCTTGACTCCAACATGGCTGAAAAGAAGCACATTTTAAGTCAATAAAAAGAAATACTACATAAAAATCTCACACACACTCCCCCTATGGAACTGACTCCACAAGTTAGCATTGGAGCCAAGAGCTTAACAGGTTTCAAAATACGACTGGCCATTTAAACGGACAGAAAACAGCCAGAGTTACATTAGACAGAATTTTTTTTTTTTTAAATGATAATACCCAAGCTTCACAGCA